TGTGTGTTTATCCAAGAATTGATTTGCTGGTTTGTTGAACAATACTTTTTGTTTAGATGTTTTGATGAATGGTTGGTTGGTTGATGTTTTGATTATAAGGATTCTGATGTTTTGATGAATGGTTGTTTTGACGAAATGGTTGGGTGATGTTTTTGTGTAAATGCTGATTATTAGGATGCTGATTTTAGTTAGTGGGTTGATGATAATGGTTTTTGATGTAAATGAATGTTGCTGATTGTAATGAATGAAGTTTCTAATGGTATTTTAAGTTTATGATGAGATGCCTTTTTTGTAATCAGTGTATGGGAAGTTAGTTATTATCTGTTGCATATTTAGTTCAAACAAGATGCATATTTAGTTTTTTAATGTTGCATATCTAGCTTAAGGATGTTTCAGATTAGTCTTTATAAACCGGTTGGGTGTATATTGTAGAACAGTGCATGTTTAGAGATTAGGAAATGCATAAATAGTAAAGAGGTAAAAAATATCTACTCAATTCTTGCATGGTAACTGTAAATTTTGTTGCTATTTTATTATAAGTATGTTGCATATATATTGTTTGAGAGATGCATACTTAGTGTAAATGAGATGCATAGTTATTAGAAAGATGAATAAAACTATCTACTGAATTCTTGCATGGTTAGTGTAAATTTGTTGCTATTTTATTGTAATTTTGTTTCCTAAATATTGTACAGAAGATGCATAGTTAGTGTAAATATTGATGTATATTTATTCTATAGTTTTGCATAGTTATCTTTATCAAGTTGCATAAATATTGTACAGAAGATGCATAGTTAGTGTAAGTGAGATGGAAAAAATATCTACTGAATTCATGCATGGTTACTGTAAACTTGTTGCTGTTTTATTATAATATCTTTCATAAATAGTGTACATAAGATGCATAGTTAGTGTAAGTGAGATGTAAAAACTATCTACTGAATTCTTGCATTGTTACTGTAAACCTGTGGCTATTTTGTTGTAATATTGTGCATAAATATAGTACAGAAGATGCATAGTTAGTGTAAGTGAGATGCAAAAACTATTTTACTGAATTCTTGCATGATTACTATAAACATGATGCTATTTTATTGTAATTTCGTTGCCTAAATAGTGCACAGACGATACATAGTTAGTGTAAGTGAAATGCATATTTATATAATAGAAGCAATTTAAAGAAGAGTTAATATTTTTCTATACGTCATATAATATCTGATAACAAAACATCAAATAACTATGTGTTACAATCAGAAATCTCATTGGTCTTAGTACAAGTTCTACTATTATGACTTTCTATTTCTCCACATTTTCCACAACGCCTTTTCAACCTTTGGCTTGCTTTGATTGACTTTTCTCGTTGTGACAACAAGCGGCTTCTTGTGCTGCTTCCACTTCCCTTGTTTTTTGCCTGCTTTGGAGGAAGGATATTTACATCCAAATTTGAAACTGAACCGCAAAAAGCTTCCATAACTGCTTCTTTGCTTAAGACTGAACCCCTGTCTTGCCGTCCACTCAACAAGTAATTCTTTTCTTCATTTAGAATTCTTGATAATCTAGCCAACTTATTCTCTTTGTCTTGAGCAAGCGATACACAGCAATGAAAATCAGACCAGATTTTGTTTATATAGGTATTCTGCTGACTTTTGTGATCTACTGCAGCTAATTTTCCATTTCAAACTCATCACTGGAAGATGAAACTTTGAGCCAGCAGTTGAGAAGGTACTGATCAGGTATTCTATCTAAATCCTTGATGAACATTAGTATATGACGACATAATAATCCAAATTGCTCAAACATCTTGCAGCTGCAATTTACAGAATCCCGACATTTATCTACAATGAAGTCAATATCATCACGACTAGCTTCCACAACTTTATATCTTGTCACATCATTCTCATTTTGGATGTGGATAGGCACACACCGAAAACATGCTGCTTCAATTTCTGGTTGTACCTCAGAAAATACTGTTTTTGTATAAACCTTTGCAGCATGTTTCTCAATTTCTAATGGTGTCTTGCATTCAGGAGGCGAAGACACACATTCATGATGCATCTTACATGAAACATGCCTTTGTGCATCCCTTTCAAAATGCATAAAGAACTCAACTAAGTTTGCTTGTGGAAATATGTAACTTCCAAACCAACTATTTGTACTTTCTGATCCAGATGTTGTCCTAAGCAAACCGCCCATTTTCACATCTTTAAAATATGCTGGGATCCATACTTTTTAATCTCAAACAGATTACGAAACCACTGATTTTCGGTTAAGGCAAAATCATTCATCAAATTTCCCCATTTTTCTTCAAATTCACAAGGGGTAATATAACTATTCCAGACTATGTCATTTAATCTCTTGATGAAGGTATTATCCTTTGCTAAAGTAGGACCAACCTTTACATTTACCTTTTCCATAATGTGCCACATGCATAAACGATGTCTTGCATATTTGAAAGTTGCCCGGATAGCATTCTTCATGGTAGGATCTTGGTCGGTAACAACGTAATATGGTTCATGTCCCATAGCCTTCAAGAAATTTTCCAACAGCCAAATATATGATTCTTCATCCTCTTTAACAATCAACCCAGCTGCATATGTTACACACTTTTTATGGTTATCTATTCCAGTAAATGGGACAAACACCATTTTGTACCTGTATATAAAAAAATAACAAAATTTAATTAGGTCTTGCAAAATTTAAACATATGCATTTTTAATTCTGTCTTCATGCATACTTAGTTGTCTTATGTTGCAAAATTAGTTTCAAATAGCTACAAGCTTTGGCAGACAGTTATGCAGACTATTGTCTCAAAATAAAATCACTTATTTGATACCAAAATGCTTATTTAGTTTTATAATCATGCAAGAATAGTTATATAATGTTGCATACATAGTTTCTGATGCATAATTTGTATTATCACAAACCATTAAATTGCTAAATTATTTCATACCTGTTGCATATTTAATGTGACATTCACAACAGTAACAATCAGATATATCATAACAATTTAGATATAACAGAAATGTATTTTCACAACTAAATCAATAAGATATTTATTGTTTTTATATGCAATAGTTACCAATAAGAGCTGATTAGAACTGAATTGTACCTGTTAGTGTTGTAAGTTGCATCAAATGAGACGACATCTCCAAACATCAGGTAATTTTTTCTTGAAATTGGGTCTGCCCAAAATATCCTGTTTAATTGGTTATTTCCATCAACTGCATACTCAAATGCCATGTCTGGGCATACTTCTTGTTTGTTGTGGAATTTCTGAATGATGAGTTGCGCATCTGCTCCAGACATGTAAGTCATAAGTTCTCTCTTATAGTTCTTGAAATCAATTGCGAGAGCACCAACATTATCATATCCCACAAGCATTTCCTTATATAACCTATGGGTTTTAGCTGGTCCAATGTTTGTTTTCACACAATTAAGAACAAATTTCCGGTGTCCATAATTCAATTGCCGATTTGCATTGAGATAAAGTGTCTCCAGTACTAGACTGTGGCAATGTCTTTCTTCAAATTCTGAAATTTTGTATCCATTTCCATCATACTCAAATATTACTCGAGCTTTGCAACCAACCCTTTTCGACACACGTTGTCGTTGAACTCCACATGACTCAGGAGGTAGTTGTGGCATACTCTTTGAAGTATTTTGTTCAATTTCTGGCTTAAATCCTTGTCTATTGTAAACTATATACTGTTTACTTACTACGCCACTTCTAAATCGTTTTTTGTGCTAGTCCGCACATCAAATCCACCGTTTGCCCCATAGTTTCTTTAAAAGTCCATTGCAATATCAAGGTTTGGAAACAGCATACCGACTTTAGGCTTTATATCTGGTTGGACGATTGGTATCCATACTTTGTTAAATTTGGTGATATCACCAACTGAACCTGAGATTTCTCATGAGCAGTACCTACTACAAAATATAAGAAGAAAATTAAGTTTGAGAACTGTTGCATGTTTAGTTCAATAAAATTGCATTCTTAGTTCAACCCATATGCATTTTTATAACTAAATCGTTGCATATATAGTTATAATCCAGAATGACTCATTGAATGAAACTGCAGTTATAACGTGCATACTTGCCAAGATATTTTATGCATATTTATTACGTGCATATTTATTGATATACTTATGCAAGTTTAGTTACTCTTTCATGCACAATTAGTTATTCTTTCATGCAAAGTTTGTTTTATATATATCGATCTAATGTATAAGTAGACCTGTGCAACAGACAATTTTTTTGCTTGCTTATCAATAGACAGTTGCACATTTAGTTATTTCTACATGCATATGTATTTCTAAATCGCAGCATATTTAATATTTATGTCAGAAAACAGAGATTCTTCCGCAAATCAAAATTGCAGATAAGCACGAACAACATATTTTTCAATATTATATGCTCGACTCTTATTAAATAACTCGATTTCATCAACGTATAATTCATCAGCATTGATTATTTTAAATTTAGATGAATCAATTTGAAAAAAAATGTCACTATACCTTCTTCCATTAATGTCGCAACTGGAGTTGCTTCGATCTCCATTTGAAGTTGCTTTTGCCGACTTTGTGTGATAAATCTGATGAACTTTATGAACCGCAGTTGAGTTTGTCTATCGAATAGATTAAAAAGGATACTTAAACCTAATTAGTCGATGAAATCGAAATCGAGTATGAGAAGGAAATCGTACAGAATCGTGATTGAGAAGGAAAGTTTAGATATTTTTCTGATTTTGTTGCGAGCGGAGATGGAGATCTGTTTTAATTCTGTTTGATTTGTTATATTTATATGTTTGATTCTGAGCGTAGATCTGAAAGGCATATCTGACGGCTCAGATGATGGTCTCACGTGCACATTTTAAGGGGTAGCCTTGGTATATATGGGTACATTGAGAAGAAGAAAACAGGAGTATAATTAAAAAGCATACATATGGATATGGTGAGGAACTAATAATAAGTGATGGCGTTTAATCAATAACACTGGTAGATGGTAACGTTGTAGTGAACAACGGCGTCCCCTTGGGTGGTGAAGCTGACGGTGTTGGCGAGCGCAAAACCATCGGCCATCCGGAACTTTCCAGTGCCTCCTATAATCGGCATCTCCCTCGGGTTATCCGTGATGTGGTTGCGACCCAACATGCTCAACGTGCTGTTGTCTTCGTCGAACACAAAGGTGAGGGCCATGGTTAGGGAAATGGTTTCAAGGCCCGACCCGCCGTACATCCCCTGGGCCCGGCCCACGGCTTTGGAGCCAATGTCTGGTCCCTCGGTTAGCGGGTCGTCGATCATCACGAGATAGCCAAACAAGTTGGGAAATGGTTTCTTCGGGTGCGCTATGGGCACGGCCGTTGGCTGGCGCCCGCTGACCAAGTCGTGGAAATAGAACTCCCGGGTGGTCATCTTGGGCTTGCACTGGCACCTTGACTTGGAAGCTGTGGCTGGGAATAACATTAACAGGCAGCTTGATGATATAAATATTGCTGTGCCAATAATGCCTACATTAATGAAGGATTTTGCCATTATTTTTTTTTTTAATTTAATTGCTATGTAATACACATACCTCTAAAACCCCTAGGTTGTATATATAGCACTTGAATTTGTTAAGCGTGACATTAATATATTATTTTATTATATCAAGCTAACTTTCTTGGTTCTACTCATACTCATGAAGAAAAGAAAGAAAGGCTAGCTCATTATTGAAGTCCGCCATAATTCGTCGCCTACCTAATGAAAGAGAAGCACACAAATATTAGTATGGATGAAAAATTTGATCAAGTGCCTTAAATTTAGGCTTTGGGAATAAATAAATAAATCGGGTAAGGAAGAAATTGGCCAGAGAAGTTAATTACAAGTAATTATGAGGGAACATCATAACGCTTTAATAAAATTTTGATCCTACCTTCGAGAGCAATGCTCTTATTAACTTTTTTTAACCAATCCCTATATATATACATATATATGAAATATAAAAGAAAATTTATTGTATAGTTCAAATTTGAGTTCCAAATTTAAAAGTCAAATAAGTAAGTATTCATAACTTACAAGTCAATATTAACAATATTAAATTGGTTGTAAATGAAATAGTCAATTATTTATAGTTTATAAATTACTCAATTACTTAAATTTTTCTATTTGGACAGTTTATAAGAGAAAAAAAAAGCATTTTAATGATTAAATAATATAAATTTTATAATTATACTTATTATTCACATAAATTTTTAAATACATGACAAAAGTTTATCAAAATAATTGTTTTATGAAATCACATTATAGTCAAATCAAATTTCTTAATAAAAATTTTAAAATGACATTTATTTTGAAATGAATATAACGTAATTTATTACATTATCAATTACTTGCACCGTACGAGTTGTATACTAATTTTAAATAGACATGTTTCATGTAATTTTGCACAATTTAAATTTCATATAGCATTTTTAGTAAATTAATATAAGTAAATTGTATAACGTATTGATTCCATATTTTTAAGTTATAAATATTATTTAATGAGTATTTTTAATTTAAAAATATTAATTTAAAAATATTAATGAAATATGTATAAGGGTACTCTTATTGAGCTTTTTGGATTAGACCAGTTTCAGTAAATTTCACCTAGGCAATTTTAGTTTGTTAATACTTTTCAATGCTTCTTCGACCTTTTTTTTTAATTGTATTGTTCTTCATTACAAAAGTCACATCAAAGTGAGAGATATTGTAAAGGTTATTTTAGAAATATGTGGATAATTTAAACAATCAATATTTTCATATTTGAACTTTTCAAACAACTATTTATGAATAAATCGTAAAAGTTCTCATATGAAACTTTTCTTTGTTGGATAGAATATTTTACACGTTGAACGTTGATTTTCCTTTTTAATAAATTTCACNATATATATAAAATCTATAAGCATTTACTAAATATAGTAGCAAAAAAATTAAGATTATTTAATGCATGTCTTTTTAGGAAATATTTTAAATATATGCATTAATTTTTTTCATATACATGTTTCCAAATTAGATCAAATAAAAATATAATATAAAAGATACTTTCCTTGATTATTAACATCTGCAATAATTTTATTGATATTCATTATAATAAATTACAAAATTAATTTTCTATAATCCATGTTGATAATATTTTGTCAAGATAACATAAAACATATTTTAAGTTCTAACAATATGATTATATTTTTCACAAATATGGACTTTGCATCCTAAAATATTTATAAAAAAATCGTAACAGGTTGGGTAATTTTTTTCTTCCAATTAATTATGCAAAATCGAGTTAGTACATTAATTTTTACTAAGATAATTTTTTCTTAAACTTTATATCGTTATATATAAAATTATTCTTAAAATTATAATTTACCATTTAAGAGATAATGATTAGATACATTAAATAATTTTACTAATGGTCAGATAATAAAACTAAATATTTCAACTAATCTTTAGAATTTCAAATTGTAATTTATTTGTATATTATGTCAACCATGATTAATTTTTTATTATTTTTTTATTTTGACTTCTCTCTATAATGAAATTCTTAAAAAATATATTTTCATTGCATAGTATAAAACCTTATGATGCAAAGTAGTAAAATCTCTTGATTATAAAAGGAATTTAGTTTTTAGCAATTGCTAAATCAAAGTTATTAAATTATTATAAAAAATTAAATTATAAAATAACATGTGTGTATATTTTGTAAAATATTTATACACAATATTTTATTTTGAATTTATTTACGTAATTTAATTTTACTACATTAATAAATAGTATTAATATACATTAAATATTTTTCATTATATAAAATAAAAAGAAGAAGAAGACTACTTCTATAAGTCTTATATGGTGAACTATAATGACAAGAATATGTAAAACTATTATATGAAGAACAAGTCTTATATGATAACAAATTTTATAATAAAATAATTAATCAAGTCTTATATGGTGAACAAGAATATGTAAAACTGTTATTTTTCTTATATGAAGGAATAAATATATATGCTAAAATCAGCGGGATAATATATTAATTTATTTATAGAATATGGCTAATAGGCTCAAGTTTAACGTTTAACTAAAAAAAATACTGATTAAAAGAGGTATAAATAGATAATCCAATTGTATTATTTTCAGGCCTGTTGACATCCAAATTCGCCCAGAAAGAAACCAGACAAGGCAGCGTCAAGAGCCGAACCGGAGACCCGGTCGAGCGAAAAGGTGTCGAAATGAACTTCAAAATCGATTGACCCTGACACCCCCGTGGATCCGTCCGTTAGCCCAGCGTTTGTGACATCTAAGTACCGGTGCCGGCCTCATGAGTGACGGGCTGGAGGAAGATTCCCCGGAGCCGGAAGGGCGGAACGGGACCAGGAGCCGACCTGAAGTCTCAGAGCAGACCCCTAGTGACAGACGCTGGGCCCGATAATAATATAACAATGCCACTTGGAGAGCAATCATTGGTGATTGGGTAGGGCGTCCTAGCCTGCAGACCTACACCCACTAGCCAAGACATAAAGCCTGCCAACATTAAATGACCCCCATGTGTGCATTAAATGCCTGTCAGGCAATGAAGAGGAAACCTCAAATCGCATTGAATTCTGTCAGGGAGGCGTCGGACTGTCCTGCAAGGACACTGTACGACAAGACTGGTGAACTATACCTGAACAGTACCACATTAAAGAGCACTATAAATAGCAACCCTCTCATTTATTTCGGGGTTGTTGAATCTCAACTATCTCTACTCTCTCTATATTTTCTCTCTCTAAACTTGTAAGGAATTTGCGTAAGAATTTGTAAGTATATCGCAAGTGTCGACCTCGTACGAGAGGCCGACCTCGTGATCCGTTAATAAAATCATAATTAAATCGTATTCCCTTGTCTTTTCTCGTTACTTTTTCCCTATTTATCTTTTTTAACCGTTGACCGGAAATGCCCGTCAACAGTTTGGAGCTAGAGGAAGGGCACCATAAGTTACTTGATGTCAATTTTTCGATCTTGTGAGACTCCACATCATACTCACCTTTTTTCTACTTTTCGTTTCCTAAAACTACTCAAAATGCCTTCATCCGGCCACAACGAGTCAACCCAGCAGTCCGACACCCAGTTTCGCCGGCGCAACGGCGGGGAGACCTCTCGCCGCGCTCAGCAGGGGGCCATAGTCCCTGTCCCGCCAGTTCCCACCTTCGCTGCGGCCATGCAGCACCCCGACGTCCTCAAGGCCCTTGAGGGGGTCTTCGCAAAGGCTCTCGCCAGTCAAGCGGCCGGGGGAAACACGTGGCGCCCACGAAAAACCCCGACAATGCCCTGTTCCATACCCCTGAAAAGGAGGCCGGGGGGCAGAAGAACCCGGCGAAGTCCAAAACCACGGCCCAGTCACCCAACCTTGAGGCCCGAAACCGCCGCGACAAGAGCACCAGAACGGCACCTACCGAACAGACGGGAGAGAGCCATCCGGAGCAAAGCCTCCAGATCGTCCGTCGTTCCGTTCACCAGCGTCTGGGTGACAAAAGCCAAGCCAACCGTGACCTCCGGGAAGTCATCAGGCGAGGTAAGGCTATAGGGTGCGACACTGACGAAGTCGCGGCCCTAAAACGCAGAATCGCGGAACTGGAAGGCCGGCACCCCACCGGGAGTGAGCTCTCACTCCCTGCTTATCCGCAATCTTGCGCACGGCCGACTCCCCGAGTCATGGACAACGCTTCACCTCTTTCCCCCGACATCCTGCAGGAAGCCGTCCAGAAAAAGATACAAGTACCCCAGCTCGGTCTCTACGATGGGAGCTCGGACCCTGACTCCCACATTGGCCTCTACACTTCGTGGATGGACCTGCACGGCGCCTCTGACGCCCTACGCTGTCGAGTGTTCTCCTTGACGCTGGGGCCAAAGCCGCAGAGGTGGTATCACTCCCTTTACCCCCATTCCATCTCCACCTGGGCGCAGCTCAGGTCAGTGTTCCGGTCACATTTTATCGAATCGCAAGTCAACCTCGCCCCGAAGGAATCCATCTCCAATATTGTGCAGGGGGAGAATGAGAGCCTGAAGGACTACATCGCTCGATTTAACGACCGAGTCCAAAACATGGAGCGATGCCACCCCGACGCACTACTGATCACTGCCCAGGGCGGCTTGAGACCAAAGACGTTATTTAGATGGTCCCTGTGTCAGAACAAGCCGACGACCTACCAGGAGTTCCAGACCCGCGCCCAGGACTATATAATGGCGGAGGAGTCCTCGTCGATCCCTACGTTCGACCCCACGCCGACACCGGCAAAGGGAAAGGCGAGGGAGGAAAAACATGGAAAACCCAACAAGTCATTCGTCGAGATCCGAGCTCAGCGGAGGCAAAGAGCTGAGGAGCTGAAGAAAAGCTACCAGAGCGTCTTCTCGGTAGGAGCCACTGCGGTCTACGAGGAGATTAAGGCAAAGGGACTGCTGCCGGACCCGAAGCCGATGTTCACTGACAAAGACAAGGTGGACAAGACCCGCTACTGCACCTACCACAAGGCGCACGGGCACAACAC